GGGGGGGGGGGGGGGTTAGCCAGTGTTAAGTAATTCAAAAGTGGTGGAGGTGTGTAGGGCTGCGTCACGTCGAGGTCACCATTTTGTTGCTTACATTTAGCAACAATCAGAACTATTGAATAACTATTCAACTTCATAATAATAATATTCATAATAATGCTGAGGATTCGACTTTATTCACACGGGTTTATATCGTTGCAATGCGTATGTATATAGAACTCTGTTGACGGAGACATCTCTGGTTGAAGCTTAATTAGCTTTAACAGGTGCGTTACAAGGGTGGAAGGGGGGGGTGTCAAAAATCGGAAAAAGTGCGTCACGTAATGATTGAACGGCCCCTAAAACTGCATATCGACGGTGAAACTACCAAACCACGTATCTCGTTTGCGGTGTTTAAAAATCTACGCTCGTATTTTATTTTTTTGAAGTAGACCAAATCAATATCATTCCTAGAAATTTTCACCGAATTTTCTCCGCACGAAGAGGAAAAATCACAGAAATTTTCAAGACTGGACGTTAAGTAGTTTTTCATTTAAAAAATAAAGTATGACAGGAAGTCTGCGACGTCGCAAACCGAGATACGTGGTTTGGTAGTTTCACCGTCGATATATCTCGTTTGCGGTGTCCGAAAATCTCCGCCTCTATGTTATTTTTTTAAAAGAGAACAAATTGACATCATTCCTTGAAGTTTTTGCAGAATTTTCTTGGCACAGAGGAGAAAAATCAAGGGCGTTTTAAAGAATTGCCGTTGAGTAGTTTTCCGTTTAAAAAATAGAGTATGGCAGGAAGTCTGCGACGTCGCAAACCGAGTTATGTGATTGCCGACTTACACCGTCGATATCTGATGTTCATTTTGTCACGATATACAATTTTGACGGGTTCAATCTGAAGAAAATTTTACGATTGAGAAAACGAATGGGACCACAACCCTTTACGTCCTGCATTAACAAAGTTAGGAGCTTTTAAAGTATTTCCACATTGAGCCAGACCTCTCACTCTTGACTCATTCCGTTGCCTTAATGTCACAGTACAACGAAAATTTTCAAATTATTTAACAATTTAATTAACGCAAAAAATTGTATTATTTTTACATCATTTGGTCAATGAGTGCCAACTTTAAACAATTAACGAAATAAGTCCATGAGTAAGAAAGGAAGGCAATTTAAGATGCAAAACTAATTGCACCTTAAAACAATTTCATTGCAATTTTAATGGAAGGACGAGCCCCTTCAATTCGCGAATAGACAACATACACAACACTCTGATACAATATCAATAACTTAACCACGTCATTACAATTTATTGCAACCTGTGCTACGGCGTCCTCTCGAAAGTTTTCCCCGTATAATTCCTCCTTTGAGCAAGTTTGATCAATTCAAATTAAAAAAAAATTCCAGAGAAATGTAAATTATACTTTAAAAAAAAGGGAGCAAAAAATCTTGGAGCACTCTCTTTTTTATCTCCGAAATCTGCCGCCTTTTTTCATCCAGTTAAAATTCGTTGGAAATACTATTTGCGGGATATGTAATTATAATTTCCTAATAGATCCCCTCTTTCATAAAATTCCTGCACTAATGGAGGAAAACCAAGGTCGCTCCTAGACTCGTGCATGCAGCGCTGAAAATAAGGTCGAGACAGAAAAAATTGCAGACGTGCAAAATCATCGACGAGCAATGACACTTACAGAGAAACGGACGTCAAACGTCAAATGACGTCAAAACGTTTCTGTCAAACGGAACTATGTGATTTAAACATGAGCCCTGAGACCCATAAGAATGCACGAATAACAGGGCTCACGTCATGATGCACATAGTCCGGTTTGGCAGGAATACGTCCAAATAGAAATAATTTTTTGCGTAAAAACCATTCGCTGAAATATATTCAGTCATCACAGAGTGCATTAGGAGTTCTCGACGGTGTAAGTCGGCAATCACATAACTCGTTTGCTGTGTCTGAAAATCTCTGCCTCTATAATATTTTTTTGAAGGAGAACAAATGGACATCATTCCTTGAAGTTTCTGCAGAATTTTCTTCTTACAGAGAAGAAAAATTACGACAGTTTTAAAGAATTGTCGTTGAGTAGTTTTCCGTTTAAAAAATAAAGTATGATAGGAAGTCTGCGACGTCGCAAACCGAGTTATGTGATTGCCGACTTACACCGTCGTTCTGTTCAGAAATTCGTGGCATTTCGAAAATCGAAAATAGAAGGTCAGAGTGCGGAGTCAGTGCGGTTTGAGGAAAGCACCGCGCCATGAAAAAAAAAAATTATCATTGAACCAGGAAAATTGAATTTTGAAATGTTTGCACTTAATTCTGGATCATCCTACGCATCCCAGTGGCGGATCCAGAGANGGGGGGGGGGGGGGGGGGGATTTGCCGATGTCGAGTGGGTCCGAGGGGCCTCTCCCGGAAATGATGTTTAAAAAAAAAGCTCCTCCCACATTGAATTTAAGCAGTTTTAGCATACAACTTCTGCATTATTTGAAATTTGAAAATTGACGAATAATGCCTCTTATAGAGCAATTTCATTTTAGTATATGGACTATTAGTTTTGTGGTATTGAGTAACAGTTGATTTGGTAAACTTTGGTTTTAAAGTCCTGTCTCCAAACTAGTTTCAGAGCATCTTTTAGAATAATTTCATTTTAGTAAATAGACTATTTATTTCTATGGTATTGAATAACCTT